TATTTTCACAATTAATTTATTATTTAATACTAAACAAAAATTGAATGAATATCAATCGTGTGGGGATTTCTTTACATTAAATAATAAGAAGAATAACCATATTTGCGCATCTTGACTTTCGATATGTATCACATATATTTATTTATAAATAAAAATACACAATAAAAAAATAAATCTCGTATATGGTATTTTAGATTAAAATATTGAAAGTAATTTTTTTTTTAACATTTTAAAATCCATAGTAACACTATTTATTCCTATAGATTTGAGTAAAAAAATACTCTCTCCGTCCCCTAACAAAGTATCCATTTTTTTATTTTAGTCAGTTCCATAACAAATTATTCATTTCCTTTTTTAGTAACTGTACTATCTACTTAACGTTACAAATACTCTTACAACTTATAATATATTACACAAATGTCATTACCTTTATATCACACGTACTAATAAAGTTATTTTAGTAATTTCTACTTTATTTCTACTATATCTCAATATAATACTAATATTTTTAAAACTACGTTCAAAAAGCAAATGGATATTTAGTTCCGAGACGGAGGGAGTATTATTTTTTCACAAAATATTATGATATAAAAAATTATTCAAACAAAAATTCAAATTTAAAATATTATTTCAAATAAATTTCAAATTCTTCGATCTATTAAACAACATGTTCATATTACTCCATCTGTTTCACCTACCGTGTCAACATACTTTAATCTAATTTAAAAAAATTTTAAATTTTAATTAAATTATTAGTTATCTTAATCTAGAATTATTTATATTATAGGATAATTATTTTTATTAATAAATTCTAAATTATTTAGTAATTATAATTCTCCCAAATTCTCTTATCTAACGTGACTGGAACACGATGACCGAGACGGATAGAGTAATAAATTACGTAAAAATGAAAAATGAAGACGATAGTAATAAATGAACAAGCGTGTATGTGTGTGTATATTTGGGCAATTGGAAAACTAGAAAGTAGTGTTACATTATATTGACAAGTTATCTAATAAAAGTGATTATTAATTAAAGTAGTATTTGATTTATTTATTTATTTTAGGATCGGTTTTGGGACAACGTTAGTAGTTGAGAAATACTCGAAGCTATATATATATATATATATATATATAGTATAGTAATAATCAATCACCCATTTGGTTGGATAAGCAAACATATTCAACAAACCCCCTCAAGTAAACAAACATCATATATACATGTCTGCAACGGTTATGCTGTTGATTACACTTAATTCCAATTAGTATATAATATTTATATATATATATATATTATAATTAATATCAATACAAAACTATGTGTTAATATAATAGACATATTTAGTAACCGAATTAACTGTCAAATTTCGGAGGGAACAAAATATCGATTTTTTTTTTTATCGATTTAATATTGTCTTTTTTTATTTCTCTCAGCACAATCAGATAAAAAAAAAAGAAAAAAACAAATATTTTAGAGGAAAATTCAATAAAATTATATAAAATTTAATATTTTTTACTAAAAAAGATAAAATTTAAAGGTTAAAAGTTTAAATCAACAAATGGGCAAAAATTTTATTATTTTTTACACTATAAAATAAAAATTAGGGAGGACAAGAATACATAATTTTATTATTTTTTACACTAAAAAATAATACATAAAATTTGAGGGTTGGGATCAATTCTCCCCTAAACCCACGTAGTAGATTCATATTGATGTTATATGATAATAATTTATACAATATTATTTAATTTATTACCAATATTACAGCGACCAAATATTATTTATAAGTATTTATAGTTTTCATATAAATAATATATTTAAAAATATTGTTAACTCTAAATTTTAATATGTAATATACTTAAGAAAAAATAGTTCAATTTGATAATTTAAAATATAAAAATAATGAATGTTCATGATATATTAATATATTTGAAAAAATGTATGAGATAAAAATATTGAAAGAACATATTAGTATTTAAAATTTAACAACAAACAAAAGTAAATACTTTAAAGAATATAGTTAAATTGATGTGATACGTTATTAATAACTATAGAATTACCAATTTAAAAAAATTAAATTGAAAAAGTGTTAAATATAATTTTTTTTTTAAAAAAATGAAAATCAGGTCTTTTATAATTTTCTAAAGAAAAAAAATATATTTAATAGTTAAAAATAAGAAATTAAAACAAAAAGAATAACAATTTTTATTTGTATTTGTATTTCCATAGTAATTAAATGTGGCGTTATGCGAGACTGTATAATATATATGTTTTTGAATTACATAATAAAAAATAAAATAAAATTTATAAATGAACATAATCCTATTATGTGTTTCTTTTTTATCTTTCTTTTTCTTATTCTTATACGTTTTTTTTTTAAAAATTAATATACTACACATTTTTATTATTTTTATATTTCTTACAACTTTCTATATCTCACATTAAAATTTTGTTTTTTCCAACAATCTTACAAAATAAACACTCCTTGGTTTAGCATTTGTAATTATTGATTATTTGGACTGAAATAATGTTTAATACAATATACAATATGATTGTGATGTGATATTTTAAATAAAAAATTAATATATATTTTCTTTTATAAAATATTAAATAAAAAAATATATATTATTTGATGGTTTTGAAGGAATTTTTTCCCGTAAATAATAACACTAAATTCAAATCTTAAAAAAAAGTTAAATTCTTAGAGAAAGACATATATGTGTTCATTTTATTTTATTTGCTTATGTTTTGGTTTTTATATTTTTTATATGAAAGTAATATTTTATATAATGTTTCGTCCTCCGGTTGAGAATAAGCTTTAACTAAACACCAAAAGATTTATACTTTTTATTTTTTACATTACTTTTATTTAGTATCAGTGGTAAAATAAATATTATACTATTTTATTATACTACAATCTATAAAATATTCATTTATCTTGATTCGTGTGCAAAATCAAATAAAAATTTTAGTCTTGAACAAAAGAAATGATATATTGAATAATAAAGAAGATATAAAGCGAGGTAAAAAAACACATGAGCAACATAGAAAGTGTGTATCTATACACAATTTTGAAAAATTATTATTTAAAAATATAATGTACAAAATATAAAATATACAAATAACAATAAAAATTAATAAAAATATAAAATATTATTTTCTATAAATTTCACAATTCTTCCTATTTTACAATAAAAATATTTATATTTATATTTATATTTATAAATAATAAATAAACACTCATTAAATAAAAATAGATTATTATATAAAATCATGCAAATTCGAAAGAAAAATTTTAAAATTAAATTTTAAATAAACAAAACATTGACAAAATAGTTTGTTTGGTTGTGATTTGAAATGAAATATTGATTTAAATATTTATTTAAAATATAATTTTGGATGTAATATTTTGTAAAAAAAATTATTAACAATTATACATAATGAATAGCATTTATTTGTATTTAAAATAAAATAAGAAAAAAATTAGCACATATGTTTAATATAAAAATATAAACCAATAGTTACTCAACTTTGAGCATAATATTGGACACGTGCATTTATTATATAAAATAGAGAAAGCGACAAGAAAAAACAATGTGAGATTTAGAAGACAAGTCGACGACGAGAAAAGAAATCATCAGGCAAGCATGAGTTTGGCGAAGTTATTGATAACCTAACAAATTACAAATACTGGCAAAATATGAGTTTCTTTTATTTTGATTTCAAATTAATTAGATAATAATGAATTGATTTTAATCACTTCTAAGAAAATATATGTATATATATATATTGATAATTATGCATAAAATAATAATTTATTTTATTTGAAATAAAAAATAAATACACTCGGTAATTTGAAAAGTCGTCGCCTTTGTAGCACTAGATCTTGAAGTTGTATTTTTCTTTTTACCATGTTTAAAATTTATGAGATTTCTATTATTAATTATTATGAATGGTAGAAAATATTCCGAGATAATAAATATTTTTTTTATTTGAATAATTATGTTATTATTATTATTATACAATAAATTTATGCAATAATTTAGTAAATAATTTTATTCATTCATAATTTTATTATTTTTATTTTAATAGATAATTATCACTTTGTTATTTTTTTTTATATATATTTCACTATTATATGATTAGTTCTTTAATAACATTTTTTTTTAAAAATATTACTCTACCTTTTATTTGTCCAATTTTACATTAAAATACAAATATTATTTTTAGTTTCCATACTGGACATTGTGGCATTATTAGTCTGGACCAAAGAATTATAATTTTATTTAAAAAATAATTTATCCGTCTCAATTCAAATTGATCATTTGAGTTTTCTTACGGTAGATTAGAAATAATATTACGTTATTGATTAGTAAAAAATGTGTAAAATAATTTTGATATTTTTACTTTTTATACTTTATGTATAGTTTTTTTTTTTTTTTTATTAGGTAGAACTTGCCGCCGCTATTTTTTGAATTAAATTCTTAGTTAAGTTTAATAGTTTATAAACTAGACTCAACAATACGAGTCACACTAGGTGAACCATGTATGACAAGTAAGATATGAAATCGTGCAAAGTACACCTCAGCAATCTCTTATGAAACTTTACCACAAGGTTAAGAACCTTGTGCTCTACCATTTCAGTTAGACGAATAATTTAATATATGTATAAGTTTATTGTATACATAATAGTAATATATTTGTATTTTACGTAAAAGTTATAAGATGTTTTGATATTAATATAGAATTATTTTTATTATAATAAAAAATAAATATTATTTTTTAATGAAACAAATAAAAATGATAAAATAAATCATTTGAGTTTGAAGTGAGGGAAATATATATTTTTTATTGAAAACATGTTATGTGTTTGATCCAAACAGAGCACAAAGGAAGGCTGTCCTTATAAAAAGCATTTGTTATTGCAGCTGTTGCCACATTGCCCATTTCATTTCATTTCTAGACAACTTCCCACAACTCCCAACCCCCAACCCCCCAAAACTCCATTCCTACCCATCCCCATCCCCACCCCCACCCCCACCCCATACCCTAGAAAATTCGAATTCACTTCTTCCATTTCAATAAATTCCATCGGACATACTTACCAAACGAGGTGCGGTGTCGAGCTTAAATTTATATGTGGAATGATTCGGCGGAAAAACACAGGAGGATTTTCGGACAGCCATAGGCGTAGCCAAATGGAGGTACGAGGAGGAGAAGAGAAGAAGAAGAAGCAGACGAAGATTGGTGAGAAAGGGAAAAGGAAAGAGGGGAAACACCCTCCGCTGATGTCGTACGAGGAATTGCCCGATTACATGAAGGATAACGAATTTATACTGGATTATTACAGAGCTGAATGGCCTGTAAAGGAAGCCCTATTTAGCCTCTTCCGATGGCACAATGAGACACTTAACGTCTGGACGTAAGTTGTCGCTGCTGTTTCTCATCTCATCTCATCTGATCTGCTTTGATTTGATTTCATTTTTGATTTTGTTGTTGTTGTTAATTGATTCCTGGTACAGACATTTGCTTGGATTCTTGCTGTTTATGGGATTAACTGTTGCGAATCTTGTTCATGTGCATCAAGTGGCTGATTTCATCTCCATGATTTCTGGGTAAGTAAGTTTTAGGAAATTAATTTGTTGGTACGAGATAAATTCAAGTGCTGGGTAAATTATGATTGGATAAATAAGAAGGTTAGGTTAGGTGGTAATCAAGTTCGATTAGTGTAATGAAAGGAAATCTGGGTTGGCTTTTAGCTGTCATCAGTCAATGTTTGTTTTCAGTGCTGGAAAAGGACACTCTCTCGTATGTATGTATATATGGCTGTTGTCTATCTGTTCTTTTAGCATTTATTTTACATCTGTTTTTTTAATCAATTTGGTCCCCTTTAAATAAATGTTTTTGAAGTTTCAAATTTTTAGGAAAGAGTTGGATATTAGATACCTTTTGTGAAAGTAAAAAAGGAAAAATAATTGGTGTGATATATATTTTGAAAAAGTTGCCGTACAATGTTAAAAGTTCAAAAAATGTGTTAGCAATACATGGGCTTTGTTTAAGTTTATTGATATTTTTGGGGAGAAAATAGTCGTTCGATATGTTATTTTGAATAAAAAGGCGAACATCGAAACAACGCTTACAATTTGTTATGAAATTGAAATTGCACTTTCCCCATGTCCTAAAATTATGGTGTTTGAGAACCTGATGTCTAATTAATTCCTAAGACAAACGATTCATTGATAAGTCATGTTTCTTGGACAATATTTAAAACGACGCTAAGTTTCTTTGCCTGTCGTGCAGGCAATTCCCGTCGTCATACAAAGAATCGAACATCTCCAAGAATGTCTCATCGGTGAGTGTCTCTTCGCCACACAAGAATCATCGAAACATCGGACAAAAACGATCGTAACATTTTAATTAATCGCTCGCTCGTTCGTTCTTTCGCAGGGCCCGTCGAAGCTCTTAGATCTGAAGCAAGAGTCGAATCTGAAAACAGACATAACCTCGCCGGAATCAGCCGCAACGAACTGGCCGTTCTACGTGTTCCTATTCGGGTCGATGTTCTGCCTGCTGTCGAGCAGCGTCTGCCACCTCTTCTCGTGCCACTCCCGCCGCTGGAACCTCCACCTCCTCCACGTCGACTATGTCGGGATCACTGTAATGATCATCACCTCCTTCTTCCCGCCGATATATTACATTTTTCAATGCACCCCGCACTGGCAAATCCTCTACCTCTCCGGGATAACGGTGATGGGGGCGTGCACGATCGTCACCCTCCTCTCGCCGGCACTCTCTTCCGGAAAGTTCCGATCCTTCCGCGCGTTGCTCTTCGTGTCGATGGGGTTGTTCGGATTGGTCCCCGCCGTGCACGCCCTCGTGCTCAATTGGCACGACCCGCATCGGAACGCGACTCTCGCGTATGAGGCTGGCATGGCGCTATCGTACTTGGTCGGGACGTTGTTTTACGTGACCCGGGTGCCGGAACGGTGGAGGCCCGGGTGGTTCGACTTGGCCGGACAAAGCCATCAAATCTTCCACGTGTTCGTCGTGATGGGGGCTTTGGCTCATTACGGCGCCGCACAAATCTTCCTAAGGTATCGGAGTCAAATGGGGTGCGACGCCGGCGCTTGATGGGTCCAACTATATTTTTATTACGCCTCAATTTTATTTTTAAGGGTAAATTATATCGGTATCGCCTGTCTTTTAGCTCCATCGATCGTATGAAATGTTTTATATAAATTTTATTATATAATTTACTCTGGTTAGCAAAAATAGTGCATGGAATCCCTATATTTGTGTTCAAAATGGGGTTTCATGTGTATATTTTGTTAACGTAGATGTGAATTATGCAATTAAATTTATATAGAATATTTTATATATTTGTGTTAAATTACGGGTGGTGTTATATAATTTATTTTTAATTTAATTGTGTAATCAATCACTCGTGTTGTCTTGTGGTGTGCAAATTGAAAAATTGTGTGTAGTAGGCTACCACGAAAGGTATGAAAATATGAATATGATTGCTTAATAGATAAGAGAGATAGTTGGGATGAATATTTAAGGAACAATCAATTGTTGTACTTTTAATTCACTGAAGGTTATATACATATTTCTTGAGCTTTGATCCAAGAGCTCGAATTGTTATATACTATTTCGGTCGATTATAAGATCTAATCTACTTTTTGGGCGGTGATTTTTAAATATTTATTATTATATCAAAACACAGTATAAATTAAAAAAAATTAAAAAAAATACTTTCATTAGTATTTTATAATACTAATAGAAGAAAGTAAGTTGTACAAAAAATTATACAAATATAAAAATATTTTTTAATATGAAGTACAATGACACAAAAAGTAAACGTGATCTTTAGAGGCAGACGGAGGAAATGCTAGCTTTTAATATTCAATGGTAAAAGCATTTAGTGTGTTTTGTTTTGTATTTTAAATTTGAAGTATTTTTATACCAGAGGAGAGCCGTGTTATGCACGAGACAATTATAATTTTTATTGAATTGTTAAAATTAATTATTGTTATTAAATATAAAACATTTTAATATGAGAATCATTTGAATAAATTAAAATATTTCATACGATCAATTTTTAGTATTTTAGATATTAGAGATTGATAGATTTTATCTATTAAAAATAGATATTGCAAAACTAATGTCTATATATAATATGGTGGTGCTATTCATATTTTGAAAGCAATTTTTAAAATTATAATTTAGTTGAAAATTGTGTAAAATATTAAGATATTTCAACAAAATCAAAGTCAAATTTCATTAAAATTATAAAATACTTTACTCGTTCGAGATAATTATGCCAGATTTTGTATCCGTTAAATTTATATATAATTTATTTATAATAAAAAATTTATCCACCCACCGTTTTATTATTCTTATTTGACAAATAATGATCAAATTTGTCACTATTTTTTCTACTTACCCCATCATAATATTTTCAATTTATTTTTATAATTACCCTATTTTTTCATTAATACTTTTATTTCTTAATGTTTATGTCCGAACAAAATGATATAAGAAGTCCAGATGAAGGGACTAATAAATAATACATAATCTACCTGCTTATCACATATTAAACAATATATATATTGATAACAAAAATTTTGTTCGGATGTAATTTGTACAATTTTACAGGGATTTTATATTCGAAATCAATGAGTGAGTGTTTATAAAAAGTGGTCAGATATAGTAAGAATTGTGGTTGTAGACCCTGAGTAGTTATCACAATTATTTATATCTTTTTTACTGGTGAGTTTCAGGTCGAACACAGAGATTTTAAGTCATGAATTTCAAAACAAATATAGATCCTGAGACAACGGCGAAAAATGCAGTAAAGGATCCGTGCTACAGCGAACCCAGATTTCTAGTCTAAGGAAAGCGATGAGTGAAGGTGGTAAAGAATGAGCGGAGGCGAGGGGGGTGGAGGTGAGCGAAGCGGAAGTAAGCGGTGAAGTGCCAGCGGTAACCGAGTGAACGGGACATGAACGGATGACGATTAGTGAGTGAACGGGACGTGAGTGAACGACACAATATGTATATATATATATATATAAGTGAGCGGTGGAGAGTGAGAGAGACGTGTTGTGTCTGACTTGTGCGTTACTTACTAGATAGGTTTTCCTGGATGTAATGAGCGAGCGATGTAAGTGTGTTAACGGAAGTATATGTATAATACAGAAGCGGTAGAAGAAGATAATGTAAATATATAAACTGAATTGTAAAGAGTTCTTAACATTGGAATTTGACCTTAAGGGATTTACAACAAGACTTCAATGACATCCAGAATCGGAATATTATAAGAAAGAAACCCTACTGTCACTAGGAATTTCTGCGACCTAATAGACTACCGTCTATGCCCCGTGAATTACCCCAACTTCTGCCTCATTAGTGGCTTTACCCTTCTGTTACCTCTTTTTAATCAAAATTGAATTCTGAACAGTAGTTAAGCAGGTCGACAAGGCTCCCCCGTACTTAACTACATTAAACTACCTTGAAAACGCTTTTGGCAAAAGACAAGGCTTAGATAATCAATTTTTCTCGTGCTCTAAACCAGTGAAATGAAATTCTTTAAATTCAAAGTTTATATAAGTGTGGATAAAGAGTGGAAGAAATGTAGATAAAGAATTGAATGATATTTCATTACTTACTACTAAAACGAGAAAGACTAGAACTACAAAGCTGTAATTGAAAGTAGTAAGCTACTCTAAGAAAGCGGTAAAGACTTGGCCAAGGGAGAAAGGGAATCCTTACTCCCTTGGCCATTCCTGTGGAGAACTACCTTACAGGGTTGGAGCTCTTGACGAACAGGAAGACAATTAAGTTGCGCAGAATTTAATTGCTAAAATACTCTAGATCGAAGTATATTTACATAGAGCTATTTGACCCTATTTATAGTATGTGAAATGGAACGTTTACAAGCAGTTACTGGGCAGTTCCAATTGCTAGGCAGTTAGGTGGTTGATGGCAGTTATTCTGTTGAAGCAGTTGCTGGCCATAACTCCTATGGTGCCCGCTTCGCTTGCATCGGATTGTAAAGGCTCAGATCTTCCTCGCTTGCCGGAGGGCTGGAGGGCGTCAGCGCAGCTAGGAATGCTTGGGCTGGCTGGAATGGAATGGGATCAATGATTGGGAGCAATGTGAACCTCAAATAGAAACAATTGAGCCATAAGCATTCAACTTGCCATTCGATTTAACATGATTGGAGTTATCCCGGTATCGTCTACTTTGTTTGCTTAGTAGAGATTATTTTGGATTAAGGAGACCTTATGCTGAAGGGTGCGGAGAATCATCATTTTTTTTTTGAATCGAGAGTTTCAAACAAACATTGTGTCTGCTCACGATCTTATTTGATTCTCGCACACCTAGGCTTTTTTGGTTCCTTTGTAATGATAGGTCCTCCCTGCTTCACTCACATTGTGTCTTAAACCATATTTAAGGATTCATCTTTTCAAGTCATTTCTTGTGAACAAAATCGATAGACAAAAGTTCGCTTGCCCTACTGAGTATGGAAAAGTTTGAAACGAAGGGGGCACTAATCTTCATAGGTTTTATTCGTTGTTACTTAGTTTAACACTAGTGTTCGGGTTATTAAGAAGTTCGAAGGACAATTACTTGGTCTCGTATGTGTAAGTTATCTAACTTTACTCTAAAACATATCACAGAGTGACATGGATTAGGATCATCTCCATGAATCAAACTTGAAGACAAGTATCTAATATGTATTCGGGAACTTACGAATGCTGAATCGAAAATCAAAATAGAAATAGGATAAGTTGAATTCCAAAAGCAATCACTCCTCTCGAGCAAGCACTTTCGAGAATCCACGGACTGTCCGAGGCTGCCGATGCATCTTCTGTCTCTCACGCAATTGCATCCGAAGCTCAACAATCGAATTGCCCTCTCGGCGGATGGAATCACTCAAACTCTAAGGAATCTCTCCAAAGCTTGGTAAACCCTCTCTCAAAATGTTCTCATCTAAGTTGTGTTTCCATCAAGAAAATAAACAAGGCTATATATACTACATGAAAAATTAATCTAAGCCATACATCTTAAGTGGCAAGCTAATCTAAACCACACATTTTGATTAAGCTCAAAGGATCACAACCTCCAAGCAAACAAATAGGTTCGACCGGGTTCGGGTTGCAATCGGTCCGTCTAAGTTCGGGTTCGGGTGATCCGAAGCCGTGTCAAAGGAAGACATTCGGTCTATGTACAGCCCTTGCCATTTCAGATTTTTGTACATGGGGGAGGACCTTTCTTCATTTTCTTTTCTCGCTTGCGGGTCCTCGCCCCTGAGGAAGGTTCCGAGATAGCTGCCGCACTAGATATTCCATCCTTTGGAGACTTCTAGCTGTGTCAAGCTGTTGTTCCATGAGAATGGCGTTTTGTTGGGTGATGGCTGCGAGCGCCTTCAGAATCTCTGTCAGAGATGCACCCATGCTTGCAGCTTGAGTCTCCAGCGCCTCTACCCGGGCTTCTAGTACGGCGCTTGCCTTCCTGCCAGTGGCCAGTCCCTCAGCCAAGTTCCTTGCGTAAGTGTCGATCAAAGTTTGGGTCATCAGGTACTGGCTAAGCATGGCTGAGTCGAGTTCATCCAGTCTTCTTTCTAAGGTTTCAAGTGTCGCGCGGGAAGCTGATGTGCCTGCTTCCACGGCTGCTGGTGACTGTCTCTCTGACTCAGCTGAACTGATTTCCTCTGGCTTTTCCTTCTGTGAGGAATCGGGTGCTGGCTTAGGGGTGACATCCCTAAGGAACACCAGTTGCCTCGCTGCCTCATACTCCAGCTGTTATGCCTTCTTTCGTTCTAGGTACCTCCTGAATCACAGTTGGAGTTGGGTCAGCGGCTTGAGCAACTTGGCCAACACCTTCATCTTCCTCTTCTTCTGTCGCTCAAGCTGCCGCTTCTGTTCCAAATATTGCATTCCGGCGAGCAACTGAGCTTGTCTTTTCTGAAATTTCCTTTCATCTTCATTCTCCTCCTCATCAATGATTGTTTTGTCTGATTTGGCTGAGGCCGGAGCCAGAGCTTCTGCAGGTGTCCCGGTTGTTACTGGTGTTCTTGGGCTGTGCGGGGACACTTGCAGAAGGGGAAGAATCAAAATCACTGCCTCCACCTCTTCGATTTCATTGGCAGCTTCAGCGGTTGTGGGAGCGGGGACCTCGGCGGGATACTCCTTGTATGACTCTACTGTGACATTGATCCCGCCGATGGTTTCTTCTGTGATCATAGTCTCCCGCTTCTCCTCTAATCCAGCAGCAGTAGGCTCCACCGCTCCCGGCTGGTTAACGGGTGTGGCTTCATTGCCTGTTCCAGCAGCAGTTGGCTCACCTGCCCCCTACTGGTTGAAGGGAATATGTTCATTGCAAAACGGGCTAGGCAGCTTGGGTGACACCTCCACTGTTGCTGGCCTCACTGGCGAAGGTCTTTCGGGTTGAGCGGTGGGCTCTCTAATTGTGATCCCCTTCCGTAATCTGGAAAGCGGGATCGTGTCATCGCTCGCTTCCTTTTCCACCGCTTTCCCCTTCCTTTTCTCCTGTCTCGTCGCTCGCCGAGGGGGTGTTGGATTTTTTCGCAGTGCTTCTTTGACCCTCGGCTTCTTGACAGGCGCTGGAGCAGGGTC